TACAAATAATGTGTGTTTGTATTAAAGATACAAACTTTTTAATACATTAAACATTTTGCTGGCTGCTTTCCAGGATCGAAAAGAAAAATTTGTAAATAATTATACAAAAACGTAGAAAAGTATAATAAAAACAAACAAAAATTTGTCCAATAACAACAATAACAACAACAATCTGTAGAAATAAGATATTATGTACAAATATATTTAGGTATATATGCACATATTTTATAATAATGTAAGTCAACAAGAATGGGCCAGGATGTTGTACTGAGTTTTTCAATAGAAAAATATTACCATTTTTTATTAAATGAGCTCATAGATCACACTTTATGGCATATGTAATAATTGAAGTAAGTTTCTTCGGTTTATCATAGCTCTTATGGTAATTTTGTCTGTCAATATTTATAATTAAATTTCATTGATGGTGTTGAAGATTAATATTTAAATTCTATTTAAAATGGAATCAATAACAATTAAAGCCCTATTATTAATTTATTGATTGCACTTATCTACCTAAAAAAACACAAGTTTCAAAAATAAAAAGTTGTTTAATGTTTGAGAATAGTAACACATTACAAGACCTTTAAGAAACTGTTTGTTTGAAGTTTTCATCTTCTTTTAGAACGGAAGTTAAAAGTCAAAAACTTAAACATATTAAAATTTACTCAAATTTTCTTAAAATTCATGGAACTCGAAAACCGTTTACATGAATTTGGCAACCAGTCCGAAACAAAAGTTTTACCCGTTTTAACCATTAATCAATCCATGAACGTAAAATTAGAAGGAAACTCATTGATTATATTCTTAATAAGAATTAAAAACGGAAAATCACAAGTCGTAAAAAGTTATGAGATACCCCAAAAGTTTATCAATCCGTCATATTGGCAAATTTAAGTTAGGTAAAATTTCTTTAAAATAAATTCAGCGGAAATTAAGATACATGAGCGCACAGAAGAACTGACAGACGGAGAGATAGACATTATTCTAAAAATAGTTTATTTACACTTGCTTAACATGCAGAAAGGCATTTCGTCGAAAAGTGGAAGTATGAAATTTTTCATAACCTTGCACATTATTACTTTCAATGGGTTCGAAAATAATTTACATAATATATTTGAACCGTTTGGATCAATAATGTACCCATTTAATAATCTTTTAAATTGATATTATGAAATATTATTTATAGGATTTTATATAATTATATATGTACGGATGTACATATATATATGCATTAAGGTGGATCAAAAAAAATTGTTTTTATTAGATCCATTTGTCTTATAACGTAAAGCCCGGGCTTGATGAACAGCTTTTAATATGAATATTTAATCCAGTACAGCAAACAATTTACATCTTGTAAATTGCAAATTAATTACAGGTTTACATAACATTTATAGAAAGTGTTGTATGCCATACGTTGTCCAGATATATGTACAACTTTGTTTCATCTTATCTCTTCAAAAATTATTTGCTATAGAGTAGAACAACTTGTCTTTACTATTATAAATAAATAATTTTCATAAACAAACCGATTTTATTATCATCCTTATATCACTAACCCACCCTAATAGACATTCTTCAATACATACACATTCGAAGATATTTTAGTTATGTGTAGTATCAAAAATACTATAGAAAATAATATTTATATTTATTATACAGCTCAATGAATAATAAAATATTTAAAAAATAATATATAGGTATGTTACAAAATATTGAAGTTTTTAGGACAATATCACGAATATTAAATGTATAATTATATAATTTTGATCTATATTGGCAGGCGAATATTTATGACAGTCATAAATAATATACTTAGAACAAAATTATAATTTACATAATATGTTTTTAGCTTAAGTGAGGACAATTTTAATATAAAATATATAATCAAATGAATATGTATGTATTAACATATTACATTAAGGTTTTTATGAATCACGGGCCACACAATAAAAATGTAACTATTTTCATGTAGTTTTAATAATTTACATTTTTTGTTAAAAGTATTTTTTCTGTCGACTGACGTTAAAACGTCACCATAACGTACAAACAATATTGTTTTACGAAATAACATTTGAACGGAAACATCTTATGATGTTTCCTATGCGTAGTTTGACAAAAATGCAAGAAAGATACATCAGGTCATCAGGTTATGAGCTATTCTGAATTCTGTATTGCTTTAGTTGTCGAAAACTATAAGCTTTTGTTGTTGATTATGTAGACGTGTAGAAAATACGAGCCTAATTTTCACAAAAGAGTAATTAATTTAATTATAGTGAGAATTTAATTAAACCCATATGCAAACGCCTTAAACTTTCATTCTTATAAAAATTTTTTTTATTTTAATAAAAAAAATATAAACAGTTTAAATATTTTTTTTCTTCATAACTAATAGTTTTTAATCCACTTAGGAATTTATTATGTTTATTGTGAACAAGAAAATATCCTTTTAAAGTTCCCTTATATTATGTTCCAATATTTTTATGTTACTTATTCTTTATATAATAGTTTGGCAAACATGCACGTATACATACATATTATACAAATATATAAACACAAGTTAAATATTAACATTTACATATTACATTATGTACATAAAACATATGTATGTATGTATATGCATAATAATAATGTAAATAAAATAAATTAATTAAAAGCATTATTAAATTTTTTCTTTCTAAAATATTGTGTTTGTGTACACTTTTTATCTTATTATCCTTCTTCTTATTCTCTCCCTCTATCATATCATCATAATGTCTTAAAAGAATAGAAAAAAAACCAAAACTTACATACATATATTTTTCTCCTTTAGATCACCACAATGTTATACGTATACATTTTATATATTTCAATGCCATCAAATACACACCTATGCACAGATTCGTAAGGAATAGGAGAGACCTTTATTAAGAAGGAATATATATAAATACATACATACATATACATTAGTTACATAACGTAAAAATATCGCTGTTCTCACCCTGTCCCTTCTACTTCCATAACAAAATTCTTATAGTTCAACTTGCAACAACCTTAAACCTCAATTGTATATTTCATATTCATCTGCACAGACATAACAATCGTAGCATATGAGTAATTTTTTCCCATTATATTTTTTCTCATTTCTATTCGCATAAGTGCTCTTAAGCGAATAATAATAAGTAAAATATGAAAAAAAAACCTCGAATTGTTTACGTTTTGTGTAGACAAAAAAAATATTTCTTACAAATTAAAATAATGTACAATATTTTGTTTGTATGCATGCACATACGTTCAATATGACTACATGACAGTAATTTCTACGAAATCGTCGCAAATTCTATGTAATATAATTTCTTCATTTTTATATTTATCGCGTTTTTGTTGTATATTAAGGAAAAGTTCTAAAACTTCTATGTATCTAGATCAGTACAATAGGGTGTTGTTGAGGTTTTTGTTGCAACGTGCGCCGCCTTAGGTTACTGACATTAAAAATACATAAATGTTAGACATTTCATTATAATGCATTTGTCAGTATAAAGTAGCATTAAAAAATTGGGAGCAGTGATTTTATTTTAATAAGATTAAGATCTTCTGAATATATTACATTCCACGCTATATATATATATATATATATATATATATATATATATATATATACAGTATAACATTTGAAGTTCCACCAAACTGGTACCCTAATTTCTGTACCTTTCATCAGTAACCTGGCGAAGTGAGCTAATACTTAAAACTACCGCATTAGGAAAGTACATAATTTCAAATTAGAAATTTAAAGATTGTAGAGAATTATTTATTAAAGTTTCAAGAGTGAAATAAATGCTTTTTCAAAAATAAATTTGATCAAATTATAGACACATATGTATATACATATTGTATGTTCAATTCGATTTCAGCGACAGTTTCCGATTCTAATTATGTTGAAATTTGGGATCAATAATGACTCTATTGTTTGCTCTTAGTTTTTTTTAAAGAATACTATAGCATAATAAATTAACCTTAGTTATAGAAAGTCAAGTATAAGTTTGCTATCCAGTTGCTTGCAATTTATAGTTCACCTAAACACTTGTGAATTAATAAAAAATTGCTTTATCGAGCTTTCTCAATTTCTGTTTTATTTATATCAATAGTGAACCAAAACTCTCTAAAGTAGGCAATATTTTAGAAATATGTATGAACATAATATGTGGGTGTAGTAAAATATACCTCTAAACCTTTAGAGACAACTAACTCCTGTTATTAATATTCAAATAAAATTTCTATTAAACGTGGTTATCTTTCTGATACTTATATAGTGTACAATGTGTGTGTATGTATGTGGATATCTTAGCTCATACATGTTAAATGTATGAAGTTTAAAATAAATATATACATAAATGAACAAAAAAAACAATATCTCTCCTTATTTTTAGACTTTTTCTGAAGATAATATGAGTAAAGGGATGCATTTGTTTCTAAACTTCCAAGTTCTTTAATAGAATTTCAAAAAAAAGTAAAATGTTCTGATACCTATAAGGCTCTAGAAACTAAGAACTAAACAATTCCACATCAAATTGCACAGGAATCCAAACATTTGCAGATCAAATATCACAGGAACTTAGGCAAATCAGATTGCAAACTATAGTACGTAAAGTAAATATTGGTTGGAAACTATATTACGTACAGATTTGACTATGATTAGGGTTCAATAATTTTGTAAGGAAGTTGAACTTGTGTACCGTAGATGTTTTCTATGACATCAAGTTGGTACACTATATGTGTACTATTATTTAAGAGTTTTATTTATTGTGTACTGTTATTTAAGAATCAATTTATATTTTGAATTTTAAACATTTCTTGTAATCAATCCTTGCTCTGGTGCTAAAATATGTATATGAGTTTATTTAGAAACAAAATAATCACATGCATATCTAACGCAACATTCATTAAGATATTAACGGTCATAATATGCCTAAATATTTTAGATAAAAGCCATTTATAACTGAAATTAAAACCTCAATCTCAAAAATAAGCGAACATCATCACTGATTGGAGTATTGAGAAGTAATCAAGAAAAATTATACAATTTTTACTCGTAGTTATTTATTTTATACGAAACTCTGCTACACCACATATACTAATATTATGCAAACAAGATGAGAAAAACACAAATAACGAAGAAATAATAATAATATAATAAAAAAGCAAACAAAAATTAACTTATAAAATAAAAATATTATGTAGCAGAAGCAACACAACACAGCAGAGCAGTAAACAACATATAGTACGACACAGAACTGTACATCAATGTCACATACCACTACACAACAATAAAGAGACAACAACAACAAAAAAACTAAAATTTTAAATGAAAAAAAACTGCTTGATTAAAAAGCTTTAAAAATGATCGTTTTTTAGTTAATTCAAGTTCATCGTGTGCACGGTGCGGTACGTAAAGTTATTAGGGCGGTTGTTGTACTTGTATTATTGAAAAGTTAAAAAAATATCGTAATTTTTTTTTCTGTGTAATTTTTACATTTTCGATACGCATTTTAATTTTATTCCTCTAATTGTGTGTGTTGTTATTTTTGCCTTTTGTCTTTCTAAAAATTAAAACCAAAACGGTATTACGAAATTGTATAGTCGCGTGCTCGTGTTCACAATGAAAAATTAAATAATAGAAAAAACAAAAAAAAATAAAAAAAATATTGACGAAAAATTATTTTTCATTAATTTAAAAGTTTTAGTGTTTTGATTGAAAAAAGTTAACCAAAAAACTTTTGGGTAAAAAATAATACAGAAAAAAAAATAAAATAATTTTATGCTGTTTGTGTTTCAGTTATTAAATGTTAGTAAAAATGTCATAAAAATTAAAATTTTTTATAAAATTTATTTAAAAAAAAAATCATTTTCAATATTTCTCACAAAGTTAAAGAAAAAATAAATTGAAATAAATTTAATTTTAATGTAAAAATAAAATGTGAATAAAACTTACCAAAATAATGACGTGTAAAAATCCGGTTGATTAATAAGAAAGTTAATTGAACACAGTGATTATTTTTTCAACTGAAATTCATACAAAAAAATGAGAAGAAGTTATTGATTTTCTTACAATCTTAAAGCTTCAGTGTAATTAATTACCATTAAGAGTGTTTGCATTTTTTTACAAAAAATAAAAAGATCGACCCAAATGAATTGGGTATTGAGAATTAAATTAACTAAGTATATATGTACAGTCAGCGTCATAATTAATCGTACGGTTGCAAAAAGCTTATAAAAAGAGGAAAAATTATAAAACAAATTCAATTTTTAGATAGAAACTAATCAAAAACAAAAATTATTTATTATTCAGCCTTCATTTTTTCCAATATTATAAAAACAAACAAAATATAAACAAAAAACTTAAAAATTCAATTCAAAAACGCGACATATTTAATCGTACGCATAACTAACAGCACTTTATTTTCTATCACAGCATTTTTTTAGTACTTTGTATTTCCACCCCGAAATTTGTTCACCTCCTGAATTCTATTTGGCATTGATTCAATTAATTTTTGTAGGAATTTTAGCGGAATATTTTCCCATTCTTGTTTGATAGCAGTTTTAAGGCTTTCTTTCGAAGTTATACGATGTTTCCCAAGTTGACTTTCCAAAAAAGCCCAAATGTGCTCTATGGGATTGAGGTCCGGTGATTGTGGAGGCGAATGAAGTTGTTTTGGCACATTATATAGGAACCACTCCTTAACAATACCAGAAGTATGTTTAGGATCATTATCCTGTTGGAAGATCCATTCGTTTTCATACCCCATTTTTTGAGCTGATGATTTTAAATTAGCCTTGAGAATATTTAAATAGTGAAATTTATCCATTTTACAATCGATAAATTCCAGATGGCCCGTCCCGTGCCAAGAAAAACAACCCCAGACCATGACGCTGCCACCACCATGTTTCACAGTGGATACTAAATTTTTTGGATTGAGGGCTTCTCCGGTTTTTCTCCAAACTTTGGATGGCCCGTCATGTCCAAAAATATTAAATTTACTCTCGTCAGAGAAAATCACCCTTTTCCAATAAGCCAAGTCAGAATTATTATGGCTTTTGGCAAATTCTAATCTTTTTTCCTTATTGTTATCAGATATAAGAGGTTTTTTTCTTGGTGTATAGGCATGAAAACCATTTCTGTTTAGCAATCTTTGAATGGTACGATTTGAAACATCTTTTTTGTAGGTTTGGGAAACTCTTTTTGCTATTGTGGTACCACTCATTTTAGGATTTTTTTTAATTTCATGTAAAATATGTCTCTCTTCTCGTTCGTTTAACTTTCTAGGCCTGCCTGACTTTTTATTATAATTGACTGAACCAGTTTTTTTAAAATACTGAACTATGTATTGAACCGTGGATTTACTTCTTTTAATAATTTTAGCTATTTCGTTTAAAGAAAAACCTTCTAAATGATATTTTATAATAAGTTCTCTGAACTCGATACTAGTTTCTTTATTATTTACCATATTGCTTTGATAACTAAAATTTAATAAAAAAATATCAAAATTTTTACAGAAATGAATGCATCGCATTTAAAAGTTGCTTTAAGAATGATTATAAGTTAATACTTTTCAAAAACTCTAAATATTTCATCAGAAAAATAGCGGTAAATTTATCGTACGATTAAATACGTCGCGAAAATAAAGAGAAAAAAACACAAAGTGCCAATGTAAGTGTGAATCATTTGTATTTCTAATCATTATATATAGATGAAAGCGATTATATGATCAATTAAATCAAATGAAAAAAATATTTTTTTTGTGAGCCCTGTAGAAACCCAAAATTCAGTAATTTCAGCACTCGTACGATTAATTATGACGCTGACTGTATGTACAATATATTAGCCTATATTGAAATTTATGTCTACAAATTTATTCCGTAGTGCACAATTAGGAAGTTTCAACTAAAGTACATTTCTTCTTATTAAGAAAAAACTGTGAATTTAAAAAAATATAAATTTAATTAAAATTAAAGAGCAATTTAATTCATTTTAATTCCTACCATATACAATCAAAAGTAAAATACTCAATAAAAAAAAAAATATTGATTGACATCAAATTGCTATGTAGAATACAGGTTTTCGATGAGGAATATGGGTAAGGGAATATCTCTTAAGCCCGACCACAACGGGTCTCCTGTGCTCACACTTTTGCTATCCGAATTCTAAGTAGATACCCGAAGATATCCCTTAAAGAATTAGAAATCTTTAAACCACTTTTGCCTTCTGGCATCCAGAGCAGGTCCTCATCTTCTAAAAAATTTATAAAAAAATATGCAATGGGCAGATGGCATACATACGCGATATATGTATGTAAATATGCAATCATTAAATGTTGTGACTCACAGTGAAAATGATCCACCTTAAAAAGTTTTTAATTTGAACAAATATTATGTGATTAATTAATTATAACTTATAAATTTGCTAAACAATGTGTAAGGAATGCATAAACCTTTTTCAGAAGCACCCTAATTAAAGTAATTATTCACTAATAAACAAAAAAAAAAGAAAGTTTTAGAATATTGAGTGAAAATTATATCAAACTCAAAACAGTCAATCCCGACCAAACTAATTTCAACAAAAATTTTTTGACATCAGTCTTTACATGAACGCTTAGGCTGCAATCACCTTTCCTTATTATTACCATCTTTTTGGCCCTGGTACTGTATTTGTTGAATTTTATAATAGAAGAGTTATTTTTTAAAAAATGGGCCGATATCAAAACATAATAGAAAGTAAAAATAACGAAAACTGAATTATCAATAGGCCAAAAAGAGTCCCAAAAAATATTTTTTGAATGCTATGAGAGATAGATAATTAGAAAAATATCTACGATTATTTCAGGATTAAGCACATCTATGATTCGTAGTATGGTGCAAGATCATTTTAAGATAAAATTTAATGCAAAAACAATTAGGAAGGATCTGTGCAATGCTGATTTACATTGCACAGAACTAAGAAAAGCAAGAAGGTATGAATAGAGTTTGCTCATGAATACATTTTGAAAGGTTTTTCGTTCTGTAAAAAGAGGTCAATTCCCGATAAAAGCAAATTTGATATTCTCGGATCTGAACGATAGGTCAAAAGAAAGAAGTTTCAGGTTTTCATTCACTTTTAGAGAAAATGAAAACCTGAAACCAGAAAATGTATTACCCACAGTAAAATACGATGATAATCATGTATTTATTTTAATGACTCGAAAAATACCACTGTAAGTGAAAGAATGGCTATTGTACATTTGCCCAAAATAAAAATTCCACAGACGTCAATAAAATTGAAAATTTGTGTCACAAATTTGTGTTGAATATTCGGAAACATCAGATATCTAATAAAAATAAGCATTAGACCTATCTCCCCCTTATTGTAGTGAAAGAATAAGTATTTTTCAAATTTTGCAAAAGCAGGAAAATAGTGGCTGGTTTCTTCTATCGCGGCATATTATTCCTGAACTTTAAAAAAAATAAAATGGCCGTTAAAATTTACCGCTTTTATTCTACACCGTACGTTACAGGAGTCTGATATTTTAGTAGCTTTTAGTTATTCATAAATAGTTTATTTCGTTAGAAGAAAAATTTTTCCCATCTCCACCCCCTCTCAAGTTATCGCCCATCGAAATTTGTAAAATTTGAATATTTGGCACCTTATAAAATTTTAATATTTGTCACCTTATAAAAGCTGCAAACTAACGGTAAATTCCATGTCATTAAAAATGTAATTATTTTTCTTAACTTACACAATTAACCCTTAAAATTGAACATTAAGTGAACCCTTCTTTAAATTTATTTTTGCTTTATTTTAAAAGACTGCATAAATCGTTCATTCTAAATATATGCAATCCTAGAAATAGTTTCATATATGAATGAAAATAATTCTAAAAGTGTGGTAGGCATACATAGATTGTATTGATAAAAATCAGTATTCTCATTTGTTGAAAGGAAAAGTGCTGCAATACAAACCATTGGTTTGACCCAACTTTATTTAAATGGTTTTGTATTTGTTTCACTGTGCGTCGCTGTTGATAATTATTCCACTTTTAATTTTGCCGACAAAAAAATCAATCAATTTATTCCTAAAAAATAAATGAACCCAAATAATTCAATTAAATTAATTAGATGAACAAAAAAGGCTTGTCTACCAAGTTTATAAAACTTATAACAAAATCTGAATGAACCAGAGCTATTTTAATTGCCTAATATTCTTTTTAATTAAATTATTGTAATTAAGCCTAATATTTTTTCAATATTTTTTTATTAATACTGCACAAATTATGACATTATCTAATTGGATATAAGTGAATTGTTTTCTTCTTACTTATTTGTAGCTTTTCCGTATACAAATCGATTAATGGCTTGAGACGGCTTAGCTTGTTAAGAGGCAGGACACACAGCGTTCAAATTTGTGAACTAAAATTCTAGAACAAAATGAGGAGCGGAATTTAAACTTTAACTGTTTAAATTATGAGGAACATAATTTAAACAGTTAAAGTTTTGAATATAAACAGAAGATCAAATGAAAACCTGAAAATAATAAATTCGTAAAAGTATACATGTACGCACATATTCGTAGATTCGTAGATTCTAAGGGAACCGAGTGGGACAGGAGCATCCCCCAAAGCCACCGCAGCCATTTTTGACTTATTGTAGCCACCCCACTCTCCCGTCTATAATATCCCCGTCCCAATCACAAAGCCGGCGATATCCCTAAGGGAGTTGGACAATAGTTCCCGAACACTTAGGGACCCATGTCCAAGACAATTGCGGCGCCGAACAGCCAGTGCCGGACAGTCGCAGAGAATGTGCACGGCGGTCTCATCGCCACCCCCACAAAATCTGCACAGGGGGGAGCCCGACTTCCCCAGCCTGTGCAGGTGGTATTTCACCGGGCAGTGCCCCGTGAAGAAATTCGCAATAGTGCGAACCCGGCTCCTGCTCATCCCCAGCAACTCCGCAGCGAATCCGCCGGAGCACGCCGGAACAAACACCTTCGCATGACGGCACCCTTTCGTGTCCCGCCAGTGACGACTGCATTCCGCCGCGAGTAGGCGTTCTATTGCATGTATTTCGGCCTGGAACACTGTGCAATACGGGTCAAGGGTTGCATATACACGCGTGTCCGGGCGGACACCGCATACGCCCGAGCCCACCCCCGACTCCGTTTTGGACCCGTCCGCATACCACACGCT